CTTCAATCTTTGAGCATCCGTTTCCTTGCCTCCTACTTTGGTTGCGTTGGCTTGAAACTCGGCCACTACATATTCTTCAAGAGCGTCGAGCAGCTCCGGAGGTATTGTTTCAGGATCGAGCGGGTCCAGTGACAATACGTTGAACTGCAACACGGAGACGAATAGAAGCATAGAGCAGGGTGAGCGACGTTCCTTTCGAGAACGTGTTCTGGTGATGCAGATCATTCGAGGTACGAACCTCGATCTTGGCCTTCTCGTCAAGCGTTATCAGCGTTCGCGTCGCTGCCCGTAAGCGTCCTTCCGCGCGTCGTTCGACAAACTCGTCGCGAGCGCGACTGCGGTATGTTTCATGGGAAGTTTCCTCTGCGAGCTTCGCCGCCTTTGCGATGCGATCGACCGCACTGGGGGATACGGCACGCTTTCCTTTTCCAAGACCGACACCTTTCTTCCCTGTATAGCATAGGATTTGAAAGAGAGCGTAATATTAGCTATCTGCATTTCCGATGGGAAGGTGGAGAGACGTTGGAAACGGGACACCCGGCAAGGAACGACGATCACGGTGAAATGCATGGCAACAAGAACACACCACAAGTTGATGCACTCACCTTCCCAAATGTCTATCGAGAGGGGAATCTTTCGATGTTGCTGTTCTGCTGGGCCTTGTTCATGTTCACTGGATAAATGAGAGGACGACGGCGGTAATGGCGATGGCGACGGTGGCTTGACCTCTCGCGCTGAGGCCTCGTCTGCAGGCGATTGCTCTTTCCTGCCCAAGCTCTCACCCATCTTGAATCCCATCTTCATCATCATACTCATCGCCTTGTTCTCTGTGCCCAATTGTTCTTGCTCTGCCTTCGCTCGCTCAAACAAGCTGGTGGTCAAACCCTCTCGTAACTCCTCTTCGTGACGCTGCTTGCGACTCTTGCGTCTGTTTGCTTCATTTTTGAGCTGAGCCTGCCGTTGAGCTTCCTTGCGACGATCCGAGTATGTCTTTGTCGACGATGAAGATGCGACTGCTGTGGATTCGAAGAGAAATTTGTCGGAGAGGTAGTCATCTTCGTCTGCCATGAGGGAACAACGTAAGACGCGTCAAACCACGTGTGCGCACGACGTCAAACGACGATCGCCACGACCCTCGGGAGAACCACAACCAGCGTAAATTTCTGCGAAGCCCTCCTATAGATGAAAATGACGACAGGAGACGAAGACAACAAGAATTATAGCATCATGCCATTGTGTACGAATTCATGAACGACTGCACTGTTGTGCGATGCAACACGATCGGTTTCAGTCAGTCAAAAAGTGGCACGCGATCAAGCAAAGCAAAAGGATGAATTCGACAACAAAACGTACATCAATAAATGAGGGATTTTAGCACGTAAGATACATCAATAATGAACGCCGTGTCTCGGGAGCACGAACAGACGCGAAAACATAGGACAAAGCACAAACCGAATGAGCATACTTGGACAGCTGAAGAGACGATCCCAGCTTCGTCCTAAAAGACATTGTTTATGAGGGTCTGGCAGAAGCATCTTTACGCCACGACCGCAGTAGGCTCCTCAGCACCCTCCACTTTCTCAGCACCGTTTTCGTCAATGTTCTTCTGGTTGATGGCGACTTTGATCTTGATTGCACGGCCATCGACTTCCTTGTCCTGCAACTTATCCAAAGCCTCCTTTTGTTTTTCCTCATCCTCGAGCTCAACAAAGCCATAACCCTTGCTCTTCCTCGGATGACCCCAACGTCTCCTGACAATGTGAGCAGAGTTAACTTTGAAGCCGGCATCGGTGAAGATCGCAGCGAGACCAGCATCATCCAGGGTGAAGGATAAGTCGTGAACGAAGAGTGTTGTCTGAGATTGTTCACCCGCTGGCTCCTCACCGGGCTCCCTCCTTGGCCTAGGAGCACGCTCACGCTTGGGTCTGGGAGCCCTCTTCTCCGGAGCGGCAGCGCCCTCCGTAGCGGGAGGAACGGCGCCGCCGTTCTCAACACCCTCCGCCGTACCAGCAGCCTTAGCCTTACTCTTCTTGCGCTATGCGTTGATGAAATGCTTGAGCTCAAGATAAATAGCAATCATAAGCAGTAAACTCACAGGGTTCTTCCTCTTCTTTGGCTTCGACTCACCGCCCTCGACTGACTCAGCTGGCTTTTCCGCCTCGCCATTCGCCTCCGCCTCAGTGACCTCTCCGGCAGCAGCCTTGCTGCCGCGGCGACCTACGCGTCTTTTGGTCTTTTTCTCTCCTTTCTCCTTCTCCTTCTGCTCAGCAGGCTTTGCGAGTTGTACCTTGACCGAGCGCTCGCCCAAATTCTTTTCATGGAGAGCAGCGCAGGCATCTTCTGCGTCTTTTTGCGTGGCGAGGGAGACGAAGCCGTAACCTGCGGACCTCGAGCCATGCATGATGACCTGGCAAGAAAGACTACACGAAAAATCACGTCTCAACACCGTGCAGTCGAACGAGTCAGGAAAAAAGGAGTACATACATCTTGTCTTGGAAGGAATCGAAGAACTCTTTGAGCTGTTCATCCCTGACAGCATATGGAAGATTTCCAACATAAAGCTACATAAAACGGGGGTTCATCAATGAGAGATCCCACAAGGACATGGGTGAAGCGATGGGCGACAGACCTTCACGCCTGGTGCCTCCTCGATGACTTTCTCGGACACACCATTCGAGGTGGCGGGGGCAGCTGGAAGATCGGCCATGGTGAAGCTGAAGGGATGAATATACGCTCTAAAGACGTTGGAAAGGCTCGACGAGAGTGAACCGGTTTTTTCGTGTCAAACTTGAGGGTTCGAGGAAAAAGAGCGTCGCGCAGGCGTTCCTCTTTAAATTTGATGCTCGGCGGCTCATCGCCACGTTCCCTTTTCGGGCGTCTCTATGCACGGATCAGGGAAGTAACTCCCAGACGACTCATCACCAACAAAGATCTTGTTCGCTGCCTTTGACGCGATCTGACGCGACGTTTCATTTCGTGAGATGCTCTTCTCTTTGAAATGAAATGAAATCGTCTTCATTCACGTCTTTGTTTCCTGGTGAGCGCCGTTTCTCTTAGTGCTCCGACTTCACTGTTGTCAAGAATCTCAGAATTGATTGACATTTTTCACTTTTGTCACGGCGTAGTAGTGCACTCTTCATGACTATGCATGACTCTGGACAGATGAGAAGGTTGCTCACACGTCTTCTAGGATCCGGATAGAGACAACTGGATGCTGATTGCCTGTGTTTCCGGACTTGGAAACCCACCAAAAGACACCTCAACCGTCAGGAAGTTGAAAATCCACGGTGCGTTCTAGGATATACACCAGTTGCTCATTCAAGTTGCTCTGCAAGACTGACCACGTTTTTTGTTTTAGAAAATTGAATGGACGTCGTTGGCAACAAGGCCTTCAATCTACCAACTGAACTCCTGGACCGAATTTTCTGTCACTGTGAACGCCTCTCTAGGCATAGCGATCAAAAATTATTGCCTAAATCGCGTCTCCAACCACTCCTTTTGGTGTGCCAGAAATGGCACAGCATCGCAGAAGGAAGGCTCTACACGTCTGTCAGCCTGGGGAGCGATAGAGTCGTTAAAGATAGGAACGGATGTAAGATGACGATCTCAGGCAAGGACGTGGGTCGGCGATTCTGCGAGACGGTCCAGAAGAACGCCAGGATCACGTCTCTCGTACGCGAACTGCGTTTGTACACCTCGCGCCTGGAGCTCGAGGAATCTGAGACCCATATCCGTCTCATAGGAATTTGCACGAACGTCGAAAACCTATATCTTAATGGCTGCAACACTTCCCGTCTGGACGATCTGAAAACCGCGCTCGGCAAAGCTGATCTGGTTTCCTTGAAGCTCTGGCATAGACCGTCAGAATTCTATCAAAGAGGCAAAGGTCAAATGCCAACGATAGCAGAAATCCTTCGCCTACTTCCGAAATGGCCTCGGATTGAAGAAGTGTCTGGATTTTTGGGGGATAGATATGGAGTAAGGAGTAAGTCCATGGAAGCACCTATAGCACTCGAAGCTTGCACGGCGCTTCGAAAGATAGCCATCTTTGACGACACTTTCGACCCTACGCATCTTCAATATTTAAAGGCTATTGCCCCGAATCTTGAAGATATAACTTTCACGATCCGTCCGCGCAGTTTCGCCGCGCTCAGAGACTGTCTGAGATTCTGGTCGTCCTCGCTCAAGCGCCTATCCATCCGTACACCGTCACACAACAAAAGGCCTCTCCATGAAGGCGAGTGTCCTGTCATCCGATTCCCCATTCCCGAAATTCGCGAGCTAAACATGGCCGCACCATTGCTCTCCGTAAGCGCTTTGCAATATGTCCCAAGGCTAGAAAAACTACATTTAACCGAAGGGGATTTCTCGCAAGGCACCCAACTTGCTCAGATCATAGAAGAGGGCGTATTACCATGCTTACGCGAGATCGACGTATCTTTCTCGGTCTCCACTGGAGTGGGTGACGACATAACTCCCGGAGATGTCACTGACCTGAAGATGAAAGTCGCCGAAGAGCTGCGAAGGGTGTGCAAAAAGCGGGATATCTTCGTCCGCGACTCGCTCACCGGCGCGGAGGAACTTGAAGCACATTACGGATACCACAAGGAGAGTCCCGAATCTTCGGATAACGACTGGAGGGAAGCTCATAATGAACCAACGTCAACCTAAGCATTTGATAAAGGCGAGCAAACTTCTTCGGTCCAAGATCCTTCTGATAACTTGAATCAACGAGGAATTAGATGGGAGATCGTAAGTATAAAGTACATGTATATACAACGAAGCAGTCTGACATTTTCTTCAAGATACTTCATTCGATGACTTCGCTTCATAACAGTACACGTAGTGTACATATATGACGCTTGCCTGGTGAAGAACCCAGGAATTGTAGCGAAAGAGAAAATCGGGTCAACTCGAAGGAATTCCAAGAAAATATGAATATGTGTAATTACTTCAAGTGCATTGATGCTGTTATACGCTCTACTTTAGCATAATAACAAGGCCGACTGGCGAAATGGTATCGCGTCTGACTACGAATCAGGAGATTGCAGGTTCGAGACCTGCGTCGGTCAGTTTCTTTTTCCTTTGTTTTCTTTTGAAAATTCCTGCCCTCAAATCTTAGACGACCAACACGGACTCGAAAAAAGGTTTTTGTCGCGACGATACAAGTAAGCTACCCGTTCAGGGCGTCAGTCTGGATTAGAACTTGAACCTCCTCACTCGGGCCACGTACAAAGGACTCAGAGCACTTTGAAGTTGGAAAGGCCCGCAGAATTTGAAACGATCATTGGAAATACCGTCATGCACCGGTCATTGAGACACCACTTCTTCTTTCTGTAATTAATTTATTTTTGAGGCATCTTTCGTAAAGCTGAGCGCACATACCTCTCAAACGTCTACTCAAGCTCATGCATACCAATTTTTGTGGCTTGAAACGTTGATCTCAAATTGATATGGAATAAACATGTTTTGGTGTCGAAAATGGCCTTCATCACTCAATGAGACACCTAATTTCCCACGCTTCTCCTCCAGTGAATTCTTGATGTATGAGCAACGAAGGTACACGGAGAGAAAATCTCATAAACAATGACAAATCTATCAGAATGTTTTACAGAAAGAACGAAGTGTTTTCGTTGAAATTTGGCAATTGTAGTGCTTGTTCAATGCTCAGTCTCCCACCCGGCCCTCCTCCTCGGGTACTTGGGTTACCGGTCACACCCCTTCGGGACGCCTGGGATGCATTCATCGTCCTGTTCAATGTCCTACGAGGAGTATCTGAGCTCAACATGCTCATATAAGTGCACTGAGAATACTTACTGGACTTTTCCAGAGGTATTTTGAGCAAAATCATATTTTAACTCAATTTTCCTCCCTATTTAAATTTGCATAATACCCCCCAAACGAAGTATTTGGATCATATCTTCCCCAAAACTTGACGAAACACAGAGATTCTTTCTGGAGAATATCCTGGTACATATTCTGTCTATATTAGAGTGCCTAAATTTGCTGAATCTCCGCTCAGCGTGGTGCAAACCAGGGGTGTCTCATTGACCGGTGGTGTCTCAATGACTGGTGCATGACGGTATATCTGAAACGTTGATAACAGACGTCCTTTTTGACCTGAGAGTTCTGCTTGACAGTCGTCGAAGGACCCTCCCAACCGGAAAATTTTGCGATCGTAGACCTACACACGCGTCTTTCTCAAGGATCGCGTCGACGTGCTAAAACGTTTCGAGAGCGATCATGATCTGTTCGTTGTCCTCCGGCGAAATGACCTACTGTCGTGTGTAACTTACAGTGGAACAACCCCAGGCTTAGGGCAATAACTAGAGCGAAACATCAGCTATCTTCGTGCGCTGGTAAAAAAAGCAGTCGTGACGGTAGCCTCCATTCTCGGGCCCGCTCGAGGGAGATTCGGAGAGAATGGAAGAGTTACCAGCACTTCGATGAACCGGCATTTTTTTCGTTCTTACCCTCGATCGCACATAGTTTCAGCCAAAGAGTGTGTTCAATGTCGAGGACACGTTATGCATTTAAAACAAACATCGAGCATGTACAACAGAACACGCCAGTATAAAAGGTGTTACGGCCTAGGCACGTTAAAGAAACATCAAAGTCGTCCGCCCTCCCAGAGACCGGACGAGGGGTATCCGGGCTATCTGCCGGCGAAGTGTGAATGAGGAGGGGTATAGAACAGTTATTCAAAAAAACGGGTCGGCGTCAGAGGATAATGATAATGTACGAATATCATAAGACGGGAAGAGGAGTCCGTTGCAGCGTTTACCAAGAGACGTTGATGTACTGCTCGCCGAGGGAGGTGGGATTCCCGCCGGAGGTCATCAGCGCGTCGAGTTCGTTGACACCGTTCTCAGAGATAAGGGCACCGTATGCGAAGTAGGCCTCTACGAAGCTCTGGGACTCCATCCACTTGATCGCAGTTCCGTAGAAGCTCTGTACCTGGCCTGCGGAGCATTGGGGTCCACCAGTGAAGTCCTATTGTGCATTGTCAGCAACAACAATGCTTAATTAAAGAGGCGATCTCACCTGGCAAGCGAACTCCGTCAGCATGATGGGAACGCCGAAGGTGTTGTGCCAGTTCGAAATGTAGGAGATGAGGTCCTGCTCGCTGGTGCCGTAAAAGTGGAGAGAGTGGTAATCCAACTGAAAAGCGGTCAGCATTAATCAGAAAAGAGGAAAGATACGCGAACGCACGGTGCAGCGGCCGTTGCAAATCTGGAGGAAGCTCTTCATCCAGGTGATGCCATCAGGTGCAGATGTGGTCGAGGGGGAAACGAGCTTGTATCCCTGGCTGGCGAGGGGCTCAATGTTCTCCAACCAGCAGTTGACGGCGTCCTGGGGCGACATGTTCGCCTGGCCGGCCTGGTTCACCCTGGTGAATTGAAAGGAATGGAATTAGAACAAGAAAAAAATTGGCTTTATATATGCACGCACTCGTTGAAGCCCATAGCAATAGAAGAGTAGCCGGCCTTAACAACGCTCTTGAACGCGGAGACCTTGCTGCTGCTGCAATCCCAGAGCATAGGCATGAACGTCAGGGACGTTCCCTCGACCTGAGAAGGGCGACTAGGTCCCCAGCTGTATGTCCTGTTCACGAGATAAGATCACGGCACCATCAAGTGAAAAAATGATAAAGCTACTTACAACGCAGTGTTGTCCGTAATGAACGCGTTGATATTTCCGGGGCTTGTGTACGCAAGCCCAACCTTCTTCCCACCACTTGAAAAGCTGCTCGTGGTCTTTTGAGTCGAAGCAGCAGGAGCAGCAGAGGTCGATTTGGCCTTCTGCTGAGAAGACGTGGGGGAAGCCTTCTGCGAGTTTCCAGCAGGGGATGAAGTGGGAGTAGATGCGGCAGCAGACGAGGAGGTCGACTTGGCCTTGCAGCGACCGGTGCTTCGCTTAGAGGAGGTGCGTTTGCGCTTCGCAACACTGTCGTGACCGTGCGCGCGCTTGCCCATGAAGCCGAGGTCGCGTTCTACGGAGAGCGCATTGACGGGCGCCGCGTTGAAGGAGCAGACGAGGACGGCCAGGGAGGAGATGGCGAAAAGGTTGAGGATCTTGCTGAATGCCATTGTTGATTCGCGTAAAACCAAGAAAAAAATTCACAGGCAGGCGAGAGGAGAGTAGCAGATCGTAAGAGGACTATCCTTGACAAGAAACGAGAGTCTGGGGGATAACGATAGTGGGTGGAAAGGAATGGGCGATGCCAGCAGAGGGCAGGATGGTGGAGGGAGGAGGAGGACGAAGTGATGGTTGAAGGCAAGGGGAAAATCGAGCCAACGCTTTTATGAGAAGGTCGCGACGGGGATGCCGAGAATGGATTCCAAGGTTCCCACGGGGGCCTTGGCGTCTTGTTTTGGGTGCGCCAGGAGCACCGCATGCCGATTTCATCATAGCAACCACCTCATTTTTTTCAACTGCGCGTCTCTCCTTCGAGTGCAAGACAGATCGACGAAAATCGATGTGATTATCTACTCTTTATTATGGATTTGCAGTCAATTCTTTGCGGTTTTCCGACAAGTTTCGACATCGTGTCAGAAGATCAACGATACACATCTGTCAACTTTCCGAGCGCGACAAGCCCCGGGTTCGGCCATGATACGAGCTGGGACCGTGTTTTCGCGTCGTTCATGACGTTCCTGATTATCAAATGGAGGATCCCAAACGTTCGAGCAAATAATATTTGAAGGAATCTTTACGACATACACGTCGGAGCCATCAATCGCAAATCCTTGGCTGTGCGCCTCCTGGTGATCGTCGTGGATCCACTAAGCCCGACGGCGATAATTCCCGTCAACGAGATCCACGCACTAATAGTAATACGCGAAATCGACAACAAATGAAGTTCGCCACGAGTGGCGCGAAACAGTCACGAACGAGAATTTTCGTGCAGTTGACTTGAGTGGGCTTTGGTGAGTACGAAGAAACACTGATACTTCAATCGCACTTCCTTCAGAGTTCTAATCTTCGAAACGCGATGACGCTATGACGTGCGATCAACAGGATAACGCCTACTTCAGGAGGCGCTGGAGCTCTTGACTTTGCAATAATCCGTCGTCGTCGTCGTCGTAGGGACTATATCGTGCAATGGAACAACATTGCACGCAAAATAATAACGAACGCTCAAGCGCTCAAGGGTTAGTCTGAATGATTAGCCTTTGTTTTTAATTCATCTACCTGGCGTCGAAACGGGCGTTACCGACTTTTCTTCACCATCGCCATCGCCATGCCCAGTCTCAAGGCGTTCTGGACCTCGCTCGTCTTCCTGCTGGTCGTCCACACATCGCTGGCAAACGCGTTCTGGTTTTGGCGGCGTCACGACCCAGCAATTTTGCCCGCCTCGTTGCAACCGACTCCCACCACGGACAGGCATCTCCAGCGACGTTGCAAGGCAAAAAATGGGCAAACTGTCTTGATTGCCGGGTCGAGCCCGACTGCGATAACCACGACCTCGACAACCACTTCTGGTTCCGGCTCTGGCTCAGAGTCTGGCTCTGGTTCTGACCCGTCGGACGTATCTTCGCGCGCGCCCGATGCCGTCACGAATCCTGCGTTGGCGAGTACGGCGACGAGCTTGTCGACAGTCTCGAGTGCCCCTTCGGCGAGTGGTCCTTCAAGTACGCCTGCTACGACTGGAGGCAAAGTCGGCTTCCCCTGGCTTGGAGGTGGGAACCTCAGTTCCTTCGTGACAAGCAACACGAAATAGTGTGTAACTCTCAGATTTTTTGAAACCCGATCAATTGATTAAAAGTCAAATTTTACAGCACTTACAACTGGGACGTCACATGGGTAGATGGAGCTCAACAACTCGGGCTCGAATACTTGCCCATGCTATGGAATAGCTCACAGGCCAACGTTCAGAAATTTCAGAACACCGTAAAGGCGGGCTATGCAAAATATGTTCTAGGATTTAACGAGTGCGTTTCGAGGCTCTGATTGGCGCCCTTTTACGATCATACCAACACTTTTTTTGCAGGCCAGACTTGGCGCAGCAAGCGAACATGTCACCGCAACAAGCCGCCCAAGCTTGGATACAATACATTGAGCCCCTTCG